GGAGCACCCACAGAGTCAGCACCTATGTGTGAGGGTCTTTTTATAGATGGAACACTTCAAATCAGTTCAGACTAGGAATTATACACCCTTTTTTCCTTGTAAGATGCGTTTCATAACTTCAAAAGCCATGGCTCTGATTCTGTGTTGGAATGTACTAATGTGTAACCCTGAACAGAGTAATGTCCCATTGATTTCACTTTGTATAACACTTACTTTCAGTGGACTCAACAAGAGCACATTACTCCGCAGTAGCAAATTGTGGTGCAGGACTCAGCCTACACTGTTGCTATGTGTTATTAAATAAGATTTGCTCCTTCACGAGTCCATCTTCTCCCCCAGGTTAGGGTAAGTGAATTTGCAACATCATTTCTTAGCAACACAATGTCATCATCTGACTTCAGAGGCAATGCTGTCCAGTGGATAGAACATAAAAACTCCTGAGTTCTAATTGTAGCTCTTTCACAGCTATGTAGTGTGGATCCAAGAGACACGTAAGTCCCACTTACTCTGTGTGGGTTCAGAAGTGCACATGTAGTAACATGTAGTATTGGGGCCATAATCATTCATGTCAATTTCTCCATATTAAAAAAGGGGTAATTATTCTTCTCTATGTCACAGGTGTTTTGAAACATTTCTAGTTCATGAGCACAATGCAAATTTACAGATGTCACACACACTGTAAATAGTGGAGCTAAATAAACAGCTTACAATGAAAACAGTATTTCATGGATCTCGTGTTTCTGCTTGCTTAATATTGGTGATTAGGAAGCCAGTTTCTTAAGATTGCAAAGTCTGGAAAAATATTCATTTTTTTCCTGTATCTGACTTCTGATTTGTGCTTTTTGGAGAAGCACACAAGCACTCAATGCAAATATTAGCATGTGCAAGCTTAAAATAGTTACAAGCTGAGAACTTTTGTGATTTTTTTGGTATTCAATTCTGACCCAGCATTAGTGCTAAGCATTATTATTATTATTACTGACTAAAGGAATAATATAATGAAAAAGCTAATGGAAGACAAAATCTCTTTAATATAAATGAATATCTAGAAGCCTAGCAAAATGCATGCAAATACTGTGCAAATGTCCCCCCCCTCCCAAAACCCATTTTTAAAGAAATGAGCAGCTTTGTATTTGAGGAAATAGCTGATCTGAGCCCATATAGGTAATTTATTTCCTATAATGTAACCAATCTTGTAGAGCAGTGATACACTTCAGCTTTAGTGCAGCATGAGTCTCTCTAGCATCTCACTTCTAGACCTCAACTAAAAGGGTTTATTTTGTGTTTACAAAATGTTACTAGTGTCCCCAAATTGTCCTCAATTTTTAAAACAAATAAAAACAAACAGCAAAAACAAAGGGCAAGAAGAGCACAAAAAGATTAAGGAAGTATGTATAGTAACACAGCTAAATGTCTGCAACATAATCTGAGTTATATTGAAGGGTGAAAAGAAATTAACCTGAATACCACGAAAAACTATCAGGAAGGGAGCTCTTCTGCCACATAGTCTTCCAAGGAAAGTGTTGGGAGCTCAACAGCAACAAACAGCAAAAACAAAGGGCAAGAAGAGCACAAAAAGATTAAGGAAGTATGTATAGTAACACAGCTAAATGTCTGCAACATAATCTGAGTTATATTGAAGGGTGAAAAGAAATTAACCTGAATACCACGAAAAACTATCAGGAAGGGAGCTCTTCTGCCACATAGTCTTCCAAGGAAAGTGTTGGGAGCTCAACAGCTTGTAACACTAACCACAATTTTCAAGCCTGTGAATAAGCTCCCCATGGAGAAAACACTAAATAAAACTTATTTAACTAAAAGTAGGAAGAAATTCCTAAAATACATTTTAATTTACAGCTGTAAAAATTGATTATTACAGAGTTTGATGAGAGACTAATGCTGTATGATATAGGGATGGACTATGAAGGTCTTCTGCCTGTAAGTTTCTCTGAGTCTTATCTAATGCTTGCAATGGACAGAATATCTGTAATTTAGATAGCTATAATCAGATGTTACTCATCTGTATCTGTAATATTTCTTCATGTTATTAAGGGAAAAACAATTCAAGGGAGAAAGAAAAACAATTTTGTTGCACATTTTGTAATATTTCTATCACAACCCCTGCTTTCTGCAAGCCTCTTCTTGTTTTATCCCCAAAATAATGGATTGTTTTGAATTGCTGCTGTCGTAAATCATTTCAAAGAGGAAGCTGTGAAACAGGAGCAAAACCATCATGACAACACATCAACTGGAAAATCTATGGAGGTGTGCTTTTTGGAAACCCATCAAAACAAAAGTATGAAGATTCACACTTGAATTACCAGATGAAGGCAGACACTATTGTTCCACTATTTGCCACTAGATGGCAATAGTAAGCATTTCTAAGGTGCTGAAAAATTGGTTGAGAACAAATGACAAGAGACAAGATAAAACACATTATCCCATGTTTGAGGGGAAGGGAAATTAGTATCCTTTAGGCAGTTCTCTGAACTAAAGTACTCCAGCATCAAAGAGCACATACTTACTCTGGATCTTCAGAATGACACTCAGGAGTAGGAGAGTTAAGGTGACATCCAGCAGACATGCTCTCTAATTGGCTCGCTATGGCACTGATATTGGTGTCAGCTACGACCTGAAAATTGGGATGCAAGAAAATGTCAGATATGGGGTCAGGACATAATCTTCTAGACACTATCTGTATTCCTGCACCATAGCCTACTCTCGGAGGGCCAGAAAGAGCATCATCATTTTTGGTTGGCCCGAGCAATCAGTTGAACATGGGTCCAGTGTCCCTCCCATAAGGTTGGGGAGGGGCTTTTAGAAGGTGGGTGGGCTCCGCCCGCCCACCATCCCATGATTTCAAATAGGTCCCCCAGCTGGGTGGCGTGCTGTGATGTGTCAGGGAGTGGAGGATGTGTTCCTCCCCCGCGCCCTGCCATCTAGAGCAGGCCCAAACCCCACTGGGCCCTACTTCTCCTCCTCAGAAGTCAAATTCCACCTATGCCCAAGGGCCCCCCATCACCTGAAGCTTGGAGTTCTGAGCCCTGGCCCTCTGCAGGACTAAAACCCCAAGTCGCCCTTTGCCTGATGGCTGAAACCCAGAGCCCTGAGGCTTCCCTCGTTGGGCCCTGGAGTTTTTTAATGGTGTGGTTGGGGAGAGGCTCAGAACGAAAAGGATTGAGAGCCTCTGTCCTAACACATCGGACCGTGATTCTTAGTAAAATCATCATGAAAAAAACAGAATGCCACACTTTTAAGGGGAGATTCATGTTCTAGATTTCACCTTGGGGTGGCTGGGGGGAGGAGGCAGCAGAATTGCACACAGTTCAGAAGGTAGAAGCTGTTGTAAACAAATTTATTCCAATATTCCGGGGGGGAGGGGGGGGGAGGGGAATTGTCGTATTTCCTTGTTAAATAAACCCTGATGGCAAAATAAATCTATATTCACAAATCTGTGGCCGTAAGAATGTATCAGAGTTCAACAACCTTGTAAAAAGCTTCTTATCTCATTACTACACCTGCAGAAAGCAGATTAATTTAAACCAAAGCATCAAAACAGCCGGAAGGGATGATTGTTCCCCCGAGAACCTAATCTCCCATTTGCAAACTCCTTTAACTCCCTTCCCAGGACATCCCGATAATAAGCCTTTCCACCCCAGTGAACACAATTATCTGACCTTTCAGTGCAGTTTGCCACGAGGTGGTCTAACTTGATAATAAATACAATTACTTAATGACATGTCAGTCATGATTACTAGACTGATAGAACTATTCCACTTATACTGTTTTAATAAAAAAATATTGAAAAATACCAGTACTTCTCATTAATGTAATTTATTTCCTGTTCAGCATACTTACAGCCTCCACTAATATACCTGAATACTTTACTTGTCCAACTGCATTATAAAAAAATAAAAACTTTGTAGCTTCCCAAAAGAGATTTTTTTTTAATGTTTGTGGAAAAGAACTGCATTGTACTGAGAAAAAAAATACAAAATCTGTAAGGGTAATTAAGTAAATTCTAAGTATTCTAGCAGTTGTGAATGTGGGAGAAAAAGCTCTCGCTGGACTTCAGCTGCAGAATTGACCCACCTACCACCACGTCAGCAGTTCATGAACAAATATAAGAAAAAATAAGCTAGTCTAAAACTGATTTCAGTATCATTCAATATCTTCCTACCACTTTGATATTTACATTAACTTTGAGACACAAAATGAGAAGCCTAATAGTCAATTAAGATCTGCTTCACCATAATATTAATAATACATTTTAGAGTGGGCTTTTTGGAAAACTTGATTTATAATATTTATAGCAGCTCTATGTATCAGCAGTATTTTGACCCTCCTCTTTGAAGTGCATTTTTCCTATTTATTTGTATAAAGATTAAGCTTTCTTATCCCTGTCAAAAAAAGACTAGTAGTGAATATAATTGTAGGGAACAATTAGACCACTAAATGACAGCATCTTCCCACCTTTAAGCTGGTTTACAAAGAAACAGGTAGGCAAACCACTACACTATCCTTTCATTTCCAAGGTTAAGTATTTAGCCTTATATCTTTCACAACTGGAGTAAGTTGCTTTAGAGCCATTGACTTCAATGGAGCTACTCTGATTTAGAACATCTGAGGAGCTGACTCAATAGATTAATGTGATGTCACTTCACTATTTATCACAAGCTCTTTCTTTTTTGAATTTTAATTTGTGCATTGTTGTAGCTAATACCCTTGGCAGGTTTAAGTTCTGTACACTGGAGAAACAGAAAAGGGGTGCTGTAATCAAAAATAAAAAATACACATTCTTCAATAAAAATGAGTAGTCCTGTGGCACTTTAGAAATGAACAAATATATATATAGTATCATGAGCTTTTGTGGGTAAGCCCACTTCTTTAGATGAGATGATTTTTTCTTCCCAAGACTATTCTTAATTGCCATTTATCAACTGTACACTCAAGTATGGTAGTTTGATTGGTATTCAATCCTACACACTAGGGGTGTGTCTAGACTACAGGGTTTTGTTGACAAAAGTGGACTTTTGTCCACCAAACAATACCTGCGTCTACACTGCCGCTGAGTTCTGTCGACATAACATCGACAGAACTCAGCAGTTTTGTCGACGGCTGTATACCTCATTCTATGAGGACTAATGCCTTTTGTTAACAGAGTTCTGTCGACAGAAGGCGTTATTGCCTCTACACTGTCCTTTGCGTCTACACTGTCATGTCGACAAAGCCTCTTGCTTTGTCGACAGATCTGGATGTAGCCTAGACACTCTTTGTCAACAGAAGCTTTGTCAACAGTATCTGTCGACAAAACTTCTGTCAACAAAAGCCTATAGTCTAGATGTACCCTAATATATTGAATTGTGATGCAATCATTTACACAACACACAAGTAGAGTTACTTTTTTGTACTTTCGCAAACAAGAAAATTAACACTTTGGACGGCTCAGTCACAGTCTAGCAGCAGAAGAGAAGGAATCATGCCATGTTTGTAGCTAACTTCCATTTTTAAAAAGTGTTGGAAGCTAAAAGCTTTGTTGCTTTATCATGTGTAGCAACAAGTCATTTTGTTCCCCGTTATGCTTTTATATAATCATGTTCACAGTCTGTATGTGTGGCAATAAAGAATTTTTGAATGAAAATAATAATTTATTGCTTTCATCCTGTATAATTCACATCAAGAAGCACCCCACTGTGCTCTGATGTCGTGTGCCAGTGATGCTTAGTCTTTTTTGAACATCACTTATCTACCCGCATGCAGCTGCATGTTCAATTTATCACCATACCTGCAGGATAATGCTCCCATAAGCATTCTTTAGTAGATTAACAGCATCAGCGTGAGACAGCCCATCCAAAGGTTGCCCATTAATACTGACAATCCGATCTCCAACCTAAAAGTACAACAGTAATGGAAAATTACCAGCATTAAGGAAAATTAAATTTAAGGATGCTTAAAATTCCTTATGAACTTGGCACTGCACACTCATGCTTCTCATATACAGTATGCCTTTTGTGAGGATTTTGTATTTCCACTGATCATTCTGCATTCTTCAGAATAAGCATAATGCACGTTTCCTTAAAAATAACACCCAGATAAAGAAGGGTCATATTCTATTGCTTACATTTGCAAGGAACAATGACATTAGCAACCAACCATTTTCATTCCACGTGGAAAGGCCACGTGCATGTCGACATACATGGATAAGGAGAGGGGCACATATGTTTGTGTTTACTATAATATAAGAAAGCAGGCACTATCAATATTAATTCATAAATGAATAAATACATAAGCTTTTGAATCTAATAAAGCATATGTTATGATATACTGGGGCTTAACACACTGGAAAAATAATGTTAAGAACTTTGCAGGGGTATGTGCTAGAGGATCTCATTGTAGGATCAAAGTCATGGCTTTCCTGCGCACATTATGTATCTTCTTTCAAGTAGGTCATGTCATAGATTATGATTCATAGCTTCAAAGGCCAGAAGGGTTCCTTAGACGTGTCTACATTGCAATTAAAAACCCCACAGGTAGCCCATGTCGGCTGACTCAGGCTTGCAATACTCGGGCTAAGAGGCTGTTTAATCGCAGTGACGATGTTCAGACTTTGGCTGGAGCCTGAGCTCTAGGACCACACAAGTGGGAAGAGTGTCAAGAGTCCCAGTTCCAGCCTGAGCCCAAATGTTAACACTGCAATTCAACCAGCCCCTTACGCCCAAGTAAGCGGACATGGGCCAGCCACAGGTATTTAACTGCAGTGTAGACATGTCACACTGACATTACTCCTCAGGGAATTCTGCACCAGTGCATGTGTGCGGATATATTTTTTCTGCACAGAAAATGCAGAAGTGCTGCAGGTTTGCCTTTCATCCAGAGGCCACTGCCACAGCAGCTGGCTATGTTCATCACAACACCCTACCTGCAGAAGTTTAGGAGGCATGGGATGATTATAGTTTGCTATTTTTACAAATAAAAGATTCAGATTTTTAAAAATACTGTGCACAGGATTTTTAGTGTTTTGGTGCCGAATCCCTCCAAGAGTGGATCATATAATTTGCCCTTCTGAATAACAATCATGTAGGATTTCCCCAAAATATTATTTCAGTTAGCATATATCTTTTAGAAAAGCATTCAGTGTTGATTTAAGAATTGCAAGTGATGGAGAATCCACCACAACTTTGATAAGTTGTTCCAATAGTTAATTATGCACCACTGTTAAAAATTTACATCATATTTCTGGTCTGAATTAGTCTAACTTCAACTTTCAGCTTCTGGATGTTGTAATATTTTTTGTCTGCTAGACTGAAGAGTCTGTTACCAAATTTTTTGCTCCTCATGTAGGTATTTATCGATTACAAACATTTTAATAATTATTGTTATCCTGAAAAGCTACCCACTAATTGTGGGATTTTCAACACAGTAGTTCATCAAAAACTGAAATGTAATAGCAACAGTCTTTCAAATTTATCTTCATTACTGGTATATAAAAGCCAAGTGACAATAAGAAAAGTGTAATTTTATTTTGTTTTAGCACATGAAAGTCAGTTTCAATTTAAAATCAGTTATGTGTTGCCTTGTTCTATACAAGATCTAGGGTGTGCACCAGCTGTTGTTCATAGGCCACCTATTACCCATAAAACTACTTACAGAGCTGACTGGTCATGTAGTGCTAACTTTTCTCTCTAGTTCCAGCTACTGAACTGCATTAAGGGACCCGTGCAAAAATATTTACAACTTAATGTTACGTTTTCACATAGGTAATCAAAGTAATTGTCAAGGAGATGTATTGCAGTCAGCAGCAGCAAAGTGCCTATCTACGGGTGGCCCACATTTACAAATATTTGAGAGCTCCTTGTCTAAGATACAGTAGTGAATAAGAGAAGTGGTGATCTATATTTCCTCTTGTACTTACCTTGAGCCTTTGGGTACGTGCAGCTACTCCACTAGCTTGAATCATGGCAATAAAGATTGGAATGTCTCCTAATGGGCTTCCCTTCCCTCCTGCTATGCTGATGCCAAGGGCATCATTTGGTCCCTAAAAGAGGGAAACATATCATAACCATTCACCATGGCAACAATCCATAACGCACACAACAACAAAACGGTTACTAATTAGTCCATATGGCCTATGCTCCAAAATTTCCCGCCTGTACTCAGTGATTCAACACAACATTTCTGCTAGACGACAGCCTGCTCCTTTATCTATTACTATCGGGCTTACTATACTCTTAATAGAAGCAATCACATTGTATTCATTGTACAGAGAACTATGCCAGGTAGCAAGAGTTTGCAGGATAGGAACCCAAGCCTACAAAGGAAACAGAGATATCCAGGCAGCAATACATGTCTAATCCAGTAATAACACCTCACATATCAAACTATAAATAAAACCACAATGTGCCAACGCCAACTAAATAATAATGCAGTTTTGCACGCAAAAAGTCCTGAAAAATTAACAGCTTTCATTGGAGATACCACCTTTCAGAAAATAACTCACTGACCCTTATTATCTCCACAGTCCTCAGGTCCATATCTACTCCTAATAAAAAAAGAAAAAAAATTAGCTTCTGTCATTAAGAGATAATATAATTAAGAGCTCACACTGTCAGGTGACAATGGTCTCAGGTTGACTAGCCCAAGTTATCACTGAGCAGAAGCAGAGCCCTCTTGGGCACTGATCATGTGATGAGGACAGGATTTCTCTTTCACAAAGCGATAAACATGGATGCAATCACTCTGTTTGATGGATGCCACTGTGACATCCACTATATGCAGCAGTTGCTCACGAAATCTATTGAATAGCAGTGTTTTGTTGGCCATGGGAATATAGACCTATTGTGTATTTCACTCAATTAAAGATCAGCTTAATATTCATAAATCACAGTGCCCCTACCACAAAGGGTACTGAATAAGTCTGGTTCATGCCTGCCAAAGTTCTATTGATTTCCTTTTCTAATTTGTGCGGTATTCGTAAATAACAGACATCCAGTTAATCAGTCAGCTTGGCACAGATTCCTTGTGGCATACAACTAGCTACAGTTCAAGCTAAAAAAAACACTAAAATTATACAGAAGAATTGGAGATGGTTTACCAGCAAAAAGTGTGGACCTGGAGCAAAATGGCCTCAAAGTTTGCATATTTAAATCCAGGGTTTTGACGGGTAAGTCTCTGGAAAGGATCTCTCATTAAATGTGTTGGCTTCAATTAAAATACTGCGAGTATGTTTCTGAAGATCAATGGTATCAGTCTCTTTCAACAATTAATTACTTTGATTAACACTCTGAAGTACTTTTCTATACAGCTTATACATATATGATATTGCACACAAATACTAGGGAAGTTAGATAGCTTGTAATTGAATACTCATGTAATGGCATCAAATTTTAGTGGTGACACTACTATTCAATAGTCCCCAGGGGCAGAGCCGACAGCCACTGCACTTCCGTCTCCACTCCTGGGGAGCCCGCTGCAACTAAGGATGTTAAAATGAGGTTATTTTATTAATCGAGTAGTCGATAAAAATTCTATTGACTACTCGATTAGTCAGAAGGGGAAGGTAGCCAACTCAGTCCAAACCCCATCACGGTTCTGCAAATTAAAAGGCAGTAAGTGCCAGGCAGCCTGCCCCCCACTCCCTCCAGCTCCTATTGTGTTTTAATTTGCAGAGCTGCAGCGGGGTCTGGCCCCGACCTGACAAGAGCAGAAACTGAGCTTGGCTGCCTGCCCGCCCGGCTCCTAAATGTAGTAGCTACATTTAGTTGACTACTCGCATTCCACTCCACCCTCTCCGTTGCTGCCTCTATATCAGGGGGATAGGAAGCACCATGGGGGCATCAGCTTTTAAGCCGTCTTCCCCCAGTACCAGCTCCTGTTTCCTCACCCTTTGCTGCTTCTGATATAGAGACAGGAACGTGGAGGGTGAGAATGCGAGTAGTCAATTGATACAGAGGCAGAAACGTGGGGCATCAGCAGCCCCTGCCCACAGGGGGCCCAAGTTTCCAGTGGACAGAAGCTGCATCAGCATCCACAGAGGCAGCAGTGTGGTGTTGCAGGTAGGGATGTAAGCGAGTAGTTGATTAGTCGACTACTCACATTCTCAACCCACCACGTTCCTGTCCGCAGGGAACTCGGGCCCCCTGAGGGCAGGGGCTGCTGCCGCCCCACGTTTCTGCCTCTGTATCAGTGCAGGGTGGCAGGTGGGAGCTGGTCCGCGAAAGGAGCTGGTTTACAAACCTTCTCCCCATGCAGACCGGCTCCCCCCTGCCACCCTGTGTTGCTGCTTCTGATACAGAGGCAGCAACATGTGGCAGCAGCAGTCCCTGCCTGCGGTGGGCCTGAGTTCCCTGCGGAAAGAAGCTGCATCGGCATCCACAGAACAGCCTCTGCCAGAGGAGAGCCTGAGACAGGCTGTGGGTGGGGGTAGGGGGTTAGGCAGAGCCAGTGCTTGGGGGGAGCTGGCTTTTAAGCACCGGTTCCTGCCTGCCCCTCCGCTGCCTCTGTGGAGCTGGCATGCACAGAGACCCAGCTTAAAAGCTGGCTCCCCTCACGTACCAGCTCCATACTGCTACCTCTCTATCAGAGGCAGCAGTGCGGGGGAGGGGAGAGCAAGTAACTCCACAGGATCTGGTGCTTGTGGGGAACCAGCTTAGAAGCTGGCTCCTCACAGGCGCAGGTTCACACCTCCCATGTTGCCTGTGATACAGAGGCAGCAAGGGGTGTACGTGTGTGTAATTGACAGGATTAACCAATAAACTCAGGCTTATCGATTGTGTAGTCATCTACACGGTGACATCCCTAACACATACAATACAGAATAGGATTTAAAGGTTCTCTCAGAGGTTAGGATGGGCACACTGCTAACGAGTAAAGTTGGAAGTGAATTATAGCAGCCATGCCAAACAAATGGCAATATTTGATGCCCTCTCAGGGATTGATGTAATAGGAAAGAATCTTGTCTATTCAGGTAAAGGAAACTGGGGAGAGGAATGGGAAGTGTATATTTAGAGAAGGAGGAAACATTTCTCTGGGAATTTACTTAAAAGAATGGCAGCTGCTGGAAGTTGCTCAGGGAGGTTGGAATGTCAGAATAAATCTTGTGAGAGGTGGATTAGGAAACCACATTCGGCTCATATAGGACTTTTTTGTTTTAAAAAAAGCAGCATAACAAAGGTCAATGTCTTTGCAGAATAATACACAGTGACTTTGGGATCGCTCTCTAGTTTGTACCTGAATTTCTCTGAGATGCGTCTGCTGACAACCTCTTGGTGCTGACAAAGTTCTGTAAAGTAGTGATGACTGGAGCCAGGGTAGGATGAAAATGACTATGCATGCTGTGCTGGTTCACCTGAAAATAAAGATAAAACCAGTAACGGTGGGGCAAACCAAATGCTTTATCCCCAGGTTTGTTCTTCTAAAACAAGGGGCCCAATTGGGCCAAAAGAGTGAATCTAGTGATAGATTCAATGGCTTTCGGACTGCAGAGTTCCTGCATCCTGCATCCACAGGGCGTCTGCGCTGGAACCTCAGACATGCACTACACATTCCTCTCCAAAGCACAATACACAATACTGCTCTTAAATAACAAGGGCCAGATTACACTTCTCAGACACACTTACAGTGGGGACCACTCAGGTGCAGGTCTGCTCCTGGCCACATGGCGGTGGGGATCAGAAACCTCCATGGCACAGTTCCACTTGTCTCTGGCCTGGCGTGTGGGCAAGGATGAGAGGGGTGGTGCATTTTCCATTGCTAGCAGGCCCACTGATAGGGTAATAGGGGGGAGAAAGGGTAGGAAAGTGGGCAACTGCCCCAAGGCCGTTCAAAAGGGCCTGGGGCTCCCAACCACTGTGGCAGCAGCCTGAGCCCCTGGCCTTTTAAATCACCGCTGGAGCCCTGGAGGCTGAAGGGCTTGTGGGGAGGCTAGCCCCCACCCCTGCCCATGTCCCTGCTGCTTCCAGGAGTATGAAGCTGTCCCCTCCCCTCTCCCAGCTTACCCACGTGCCTGACAATTGTGTCAGGCCCCCTAACTGACAGCCTGTGGGGATTCTCCAGGTGAGTCCATAGAGTCATGGGAGACTGCAGCTTTGATATCAAGCCCCTTTTGTGCTGGTGAATCCCTTTTAAAGGGTGTTCCAGTGGCAGCCGTGGGTAGGAAAAGCAACACAGTAACGATGCCAGGGAACTGTAGAAGGCTATAGGTAGGGCCTTCTTGATGTACAACCCTGTGCGCAGATCTCAGAACATCTGTGAATTCTGTTGTCAGGCACAACTGCTTCTGCAGTGGAGCTGGTTACTTTTTGCTCTGTCTCCACTGAAGGAATTTGGAAAAAGGTCCATGGATTTTCACAGAATTTCCCTGCCTTGGGATTCTGCCAGAGGACTGTCCGTGGGAGTAAAGCATTTGGCGCTCATGTTTGGGGACTGCACAGAGAGTGCTCAGCTTCATGTCAAACAGAAAGTTTCTAGGCCTCTGCCTTGCATTTCCAAGGCAAATAAAGAGTCTGAATAAGGGATGTAGAGAACAGCTGCAGGGCTCTGAGTTCTGCAGCAGGACACGTTGAGGACCTCAACCTCCTCCCTCCCCACAGACACATTTTTCATGAGAGGAGTCAGTGACGTTTGGCTTGTACCTGTGCATACGTGGTTTGGAGAAGGAACTGTACATGCTTTCGGATGGGTAGAGAATTATTTTGTAGGCCCACCTGAACTCTTAAGCCTCATCAGTCATAGCTTCCCTTCCCTGGACAGCCTGGTGAGAGATTTGTTCGCTAAGGCTAGGATAAATCCACCCCAAGGCCTGGATTTGTATCAAGCATGTGTATTATATTAAAGTAACAGACAGTGAAAGCAGAAAGGAACAGCAAGTGGGATGGACCAGTGGGATTAAAAATGAGACATTAGGGCATGATCCACATGATGTTTGAAAGCTGAGTTTGGTGGTAGAGAGATGCAGAGGATCATAAAGGGATACTTGTATTTTGAGTACAAGTCCAATCCATGGATGTAGAAAAGGACAAAATGGGATAGAAAAGCAAGGGGACAAAGAAGATATCTGTTGTCTGGATAACCTGAAGTAGGCGAATGACATGCTATTTAACATACTATTCGTTTCTATCCAAATGTAGCAACTAAGGGGTTCAAACCAGTCTTGATAGTTTCCACAACTTTTCAACCATCCAAACTTGAATCCCAGTGGCCAACCTGCAGCCATGCATGCTTTGCACCCAGAAACATTTCTAGTCAAGTAGATTTTCAAGCGACAAAGTGATAATAAA